AAATCAGTCCAAAACACATGCACATGCTTTATTAAAAGTATGTTTTGTCATTAAAAATGTTTACTTTATGAGTGGGTGTTTTAGGGTAATCTATAATGCAGCCATGGTAGCCATATTAGTGGCTTTAATACATGACAAGGAGGGAGGAGGGAAGGAAAGCTGATCATGTATGGAGTAATTATTGCAGTACATCCTGAGGAAATACTGTTACTACTCAAATTTGCAGACATTGGATCCTAAGAGAGAGAGAGAGAGAGAGAGAGAGAGAGAGAGAGAGAGAGAGAGAGAGAGGAGGGAGAGAGATCTGGTTAGGGGCAGGCCTGTAATTCCAGCTACTCAGGAGGCTGAGACAGGAGGACCACAAGTGCTTACTGTGTTTTGGCTGCAGAGTGAGTTGAAGGCTACCTGGATAACTTGGTAAGATTCTCTTTCAAAATTAAGAGTAAGTGGGGCTGGAGGGATGGCTTAGCTGTTAAGAGTACTGGGTGCTCTTGGGTAGTAGATCAGTATTTATCCTGGGTATATAAATGGACTTTGGACTCCCATACAACTATGTAAGATCCACTCTGACCCTGATCTCTTCTGAGAGGGTCTTGGCCCTGCCCTTGATGAAATGACACATTATGGACACCCCAATGGGGGGGTCCTCACCCTACCTGGGACAATGAGGGAATATTGGGAGGTTGTCCACGGGAGGAGGGGAGGGAATCAAAGGGGGACCAGGAATTGACATGTGAATCAACCATGTTTCTAATTCACTTTTAAATTTAAAAATAATAAAAAAGAGTACTGGCTGCTCTTCCATAGGATCACTAGGTTCAATTCCCAGCACCCACATGACAGCTCAAGTCTGTCACTCCAGTTCCAGGGGATCCCACACCCTCACAGACATACATGCAAGCAAAACACCAATGCACATTAAAAATGAATAAATAAATAAATAAATAAATAAATAAATTTTTGGCTGGGTGGAGATAGCACACGCCTTTATCCCAGCACTCTAAAGGCAGAGGCAGGCTCCAGGACCACCCTAATATACAGAGCAAGCTCCAGGAAAATCTCCAAAGCAATATAGAGAAACCCTGTCTCGGAATAACAAAAGAAAGAAAGAAACAAAGAAAGAAAGAGAGCAAGAAAGAAAGAAAGAAGGAAAGAAAGAAAGAAAGGTGGGTGGTTATGGATATGTCTGGTGCCTGGGTGGTTAAATAAATTCTATTACAAGAAACTTTTCTCCACTGAAAACAAATACATCCTGTTCACCAATCTTGCCCACAGCATCTTCTTGGACCAATATCAGAAGGTTATCTTTCATATACCTTATATATCCTTTATATATACCACATCACTGCTGCATAGTCCAACATTTATAATTCCATTTCCTTACAGCAGAACAGTGTCAAGTACGGTGCACATGCCTAGCATTCAGGAGACCAAAGTTATATTTTTTTACAAATTGAGTTTGAGTCCAGTATGGACTAACTGAGAATTTTTTTCAAAAGGCCCCCAAAATTATTAAAATAAAAATAATTATAATTTACTATTTTTAAACATAGAAAAGCAAAACCAGGGAGATGGTTCATCAGGTAGCCTGATGACCTGAACCCATCAAAACTGGCCAATCTTGATACATAGCACACAAGCAGAAATAAGGAAGACCCTATATCAGAAACACTATGGAAGGAAAGAACCAGCTCCAAAACCAGTTGTCCCCTGATGTCCACATTCTGGGAAGGTCAAGCAAACCTGCACTTTTACATACACACACAATAAAATAAAAAAAATTTAAAAATTAAGTAGAAAAGTAGAGCAACACCTTGAAATGGTTTATTTGGCAATCTATACTTTCAAGTTTGTCTTGTTATTTCTGTAGGAGTATGTCCAAAGCAATATGGTGTCGCCACACCCTTGGTTGCCCACGAGAACTTGGTTAAACCCTACTGCTTCACAAATGGTCACAGGATATGGAGAACTCAACTTGTAGTGACCAAAGCCTTCCTCCCTGGTGACTAGCAATCATAGGGCTAGAAGGTGCTATGTACGCTGCTCAGGGGAGATAATCTGCTGCCTTATCCATGTGTGAATCTGTAGCTGTAATAATAAGCTGTGTGGCCCAACAGTGAAGTACCATCTGCTTTCTGATTGGCTTAAGGCCTGATCGATTGGAGAAAACTCATGTCTGCTGCTGTATATCTGGACAAGGACCCATGGTTGGGAAGGTCATATGCCCTAAGTATTTTGCTAAATGGACATAGCATCAAATTGCCCTCTAAATTTGTATCTTTATACCACAGATTAGTGCAGCTCTCAGACCTCATCCAAGAGACTTCTTTATGAGGTGGAAGGAAGTTAACATAGAAATAACTGGTTGAAATGCAGAGAAAGAAAATCTATGGACTGAACATCCACAAACTGGGCATCTCTGTCACCTTCCTCCACTAATAGTGTTGTGGCCAATGAAGAGTGGGTGAAAACGTCATGAAGAAAAGAGGTTGCCAAGGAGCAGAGCGACAGCAACACCTTCTGAGGGAGACAGAGTGAGTGCACTCATTAACTCATGGCAGCTGAAGGTGCTGCATAAAATCAAGGTAGCCAACATTCTAACAGGGAGAGGCTCATGAGCCTTCACTCCAAGTGAGAAGCTACTAACTGCTGATGGCTGCTGGAAGAGGCAAAATCAGTTTTCTTAAGGGTGTCTCCCTTGATACACTGACCAAACTCCAGTGGGGTGCCTGACACCCAAGAGTATATTGGCTCCAAAATTGAACTCAATGGGTTACTTAACAAAAAAAGGTAGAGAGGATCCAGGTGGTGGTGGCAAATGCCTTGAATACTAGCACTTGGGAGGCAGAGACAGACGGATCTCTGTGAGTTGGAGGCCAGCCAAGACTACAGAGAGAGTTCCGAGACAGTCTCCAAAGCTAGAGAAGCACAGTCTCAAAGAGAGGGAGACAGAGACAGAGACAGAGAGACAGAGAGAGAGAGAGAGAGAGAGAGAGAGAGAGAGAGAGAGGGCATAGATTTAGGAGGGGATGGGCAGATAAGAATGGACCTAAAAGGAGTTAGGGAGAAAACTAGGAGACAAATACATTGTATGCATATTTGAAATGCTCAAAGACTCAATGAAAATATCACACTAAAACAACCTTACTGAACCTTTCAAAGGGTTTGTCTCATTTACATTATTTAAGTTATTTATATCGCATATTTATAATAACTTTAAACACCTTTACAAAGGCTCCCAGGTCCCTGGCAGCCCTCAGGTGTTATCTGTCCAGCTAACTTTCTTGATTGAAATTTCTCAGCACACCTGAGGCCCTAAGAACACTAAGCCTTCACTCGAAACCCTGAGGACAGATTTTTAAAAAGGTGTGATGTATTCTCTCATTGGTGGCTTCTGGCCAGAGGGGGATTATGGTGCTAGACTCTGTCCCCAGGATCTAAGTGAGCATGGGTCAGATTTACTTCATGGAGGAGAGCTTGAAATTGTCTTCAGTGGATTGTGTGATTGCCCATCATTAACTCTTGGAGAAGCTTTGTGAGAACAACTAATGAGAAGGGGCTGAGAAAATCTCAAACAGATGATATCTCAAATTAGGAGCAAAACTAGGAACCTGGCTAGGATATTCATTGTCCTAATGTGGACTTACTGGTGGCAATGATTTTATCCAGGAAGAACTTCATGGTAAATCATTTCAAAGACAATGTAATTTGGGCATGGTAGCACACACCTGTAACTCCATTACTGCCCTGGGAGCTCGAGGAAGGCAGATCTCTGTGAGTTCAAGGCTGCCTGGTCTACAAAGTGAGTTCTGTTCCTCCTAGTCCCACAGCTGTTTAGTCACAAATAAACACACAGATTATTAACTGTTTGTCCAATGTCTCAGGCTTCCTATTGGCTAGCTCTCTCTTAATTAGTAACCCATCTCTATTAATCTATATATTTCCACATGGTCTTGGCTTTCCAGAAAATGCTCAGAGTACTCTCTTCCAAGTAGCTACGTGGTGTCTCCTTTGTCGCTCCTTTCTGCATCTCTCTTCCCAGAATTCTCCTACTCTGGTAACCCCAGCTATCTTCCTGCCTGGTTGCTGGCAAATCAGAGATTACTCACCAACCAATAAGAGAAACGTGTATTTACAGCACACAGAAGGACATCCCCCATCACCAGAGGACACAGGTTCAAGTCCCACACCCAGAAGGTAGCTCAAATCTCTCTATAACTCCAGTTTCAGGGGATCTGATACTCTCATGTAGACATAAAATACAAATAAAAATTATTAAAAAGAAAAGACCCCGTTAAAAAAAGAAACAAAACAAAAAACCCAAGGTAAAAGTTAAGAGGTTAACAATGATCAGGTGGAGAATTAAGAGAGGGAGGGAACCAGACGCACACCAAATAGAAGTTTGCCACTGAATTATTTGTCTTTTGGCTCTATCTTGAACCATGTTGAATTTGCTAGTGCAAAAGCAGCATTGCTCCAGGAGGAGGACACAAATCCCATCTGTGGAGGCTAATTTTGTATCAGCTTGAGACAATCCACAGTCATATGAGAGGAGGGAACCTCAATGAAGAAAATGCCTTCATAAAATAGTGCCATACACAAGTCTGGTGGACATTTTCTTCATTAGCAATGGATGAGGGAGGGCCCAGCCCATGGTGGGAGGTGCCACACCTGGACTGCTAGTCCTGGGTTCTGTAGCCAGCTGAGCAAGCCATAGAGAACAAGCCAGTATGCGGCACCCTTCCATGGCCACTCCATCAGCTCCTGCCTCCAGCATCCTGCCCTGTTTGAACCTACCCTGATGTCCTTCAATGTTGAAAAGTGATATGGAAATAAACACTTTCCACCCTGTCTCGCTTTAGTCACAATGTTTCATCACAGCCATGGAAACCTTAACTAAGACGTGTTGGTAGGAGGACAGTGGGCTGTTGCTGTGACACGCCTGGCCCTATTGTTTTCGGGAGGGTTGTGGAACCACATTGGAACTTTGGACTAGAAGAGCCATTAAGTGTTGAGAATTCAGTGAGCTGTTCTGTAGGAACTTGGGGGAAAAGGGTGTTGAGAGCAAATGACAGAGGACAGACTTGCAATATTTCAGAGGGAAGGAAAGGCTCTACTGGGACATTTAAGATTCTGTGATTCTGGTTGATCCAGAATGAAGAATCCACTGTGATTAACAAGATACCAGAACCACTAACATGAAAACATTGCTATGTTGGTATAATGCATGTTGGTCAGCTGGAGAAAAAGAATCAGATATCTCTTTCCTGCACTCCACTGCTGATCATGCTTAATACAGGAGGCATTAATAGAGGTGAGGTTTGTAATCACCTTCAGCCAGCACAATTTGGACTCATTGAGTCAAAAAAAGAAGGATGTGGGACTGTAGAGATGGTTGGGAGATAAACAAATCTGGCTGCGGTTACTGAGCTACTGAGTCCAATTAGCAGGAACAACATGGTGGCTCACAAACAGCTGTTATAACAGAGACAGAGACAGACAGACAGAGAGAGAGAGAGAGAGAGATTAACACTCTTGCCCAATTTCTACCCTCCTCTCCCAGCTTACACTCTGCCGCCTGGATTGTCACTTTGTCTCCCCGAATGACAGCAATATAATAGTGATACACTCACTAATTTGGGAATTCTTGGGGGTGTACCTCATTCAATATTGTGCTTGTATTGCAGTTTATCAGAAATCGTGTCCTTTCTACCTTGCTATTAATGAACACTGAGGAAAAGCACTCTAGGTTAAAGTTCATGGTGAGTTTGAAGGATGTGTTTCTGTTATACTCATTGAATTAGAGGACAAGGATTAGATGTCAAGGTGGTCGGAGTGAGTGCTTTATTGTGTATGGGCAGGTCCTACACATTTCCATATTCATTTTTTTCTCAAACTTCTTAACTGACTCTTTGGGATTGGAATATCATGCCCTACCTTATCTCCCTAAATTAGGACATATATCCATAACCCATTGAATGACAAAAAAAGACAAATGGTTCTCACTTGGGCCAATGATGACATATTTAGGGCATCCTGGAAAGAACTCTTTCAGTTAACTCTCAAGCTGTACCACTTGTTGTCCAGTCTCTGTGTAACTGGAGAGTGCAGACCGTGGTTCAAATCCTGGCTAGAATAGTGTGTGTGGCTGCATCATCTCAACAGACCTCCTGGAAATATTTCTTTCAGGAGTGTCTCTGAGGATAGACCATCTCTGCAAATTGATCAGTGACTGTGATCCAAAGAAAATCTGTAGTTGGAGTAGTTCAGCTTAAGGGCATTGTCATAGTACTGGTGAAATTATACTTGTGGGGCTCCTACATTTTTTGTATGGTTTTCAATATGGGTTTTTCTATGTGGAAACAGTCCAGGCTGCCCTGAAATTCACTATGTAGACCAGGCTGCTTTTCCCTAACAAGTGCTGGAATTAAAGGTGTGTGTATGTATCTGTGAGCTCCACCCAGCTTGAATTCAATCATCCTTTTGGAAACTTCAGAGAACATATTAGGTCAGGGGTCTAGTATTCTGGGTAGTTCTTTCTTCTCCTTTGGATGCTGATATATTCATGATGCGAAATTCCCCTGGATGGTTGCTTTTATTTAATTTTCCTGGGAAGAAAACAAAAAGCAAAAAACAAAAATCATTCCCAGCACCAACATTTGGGGAGATCCCAAATCAAAACATTATCAAAATTGATCCAGAGTGGAGGAGCTGGGATTGATATTTGTAGCATGCCTGATTCTAATTTCAATAAAAAGTAAAATATTGAACTCTGACTCCTCTAAATTATATGGCTTTGCTTATAAAACTCTACTCTCTTCAACAGGAATATGGGTTATTCCATAGCTAGGAAACAACGAGCCGGTTTTGGAAGAGGGGTTTCCATAGATTCTTCAAGGCCTTTCTTTCAGTGGCAAAAAAAGGAACTTGAAAATGTGTTTTTCTTCTTTTTTTCTATCAGGTGGATCCTCTGACACGGGACAGAGAATGTTGATGCTTTCTAGCAAGCATGCCCAAGAGTACAGCTGCCCTAGTCTCAGCCAGAACTTGTTCTGTGTCCCTGGCGCCATCGGCACTCATGTTGCTTCTTCTGACAGCCCAGCCTCTCCAGAAAAAGGGGAAAGAGCCAGGTTGAAGGTCCCATGCAGTGATCTCTATGAAGACCTTCTGGTCTCCTCCTCCTCAGAGGACAGTGATATGGAGTGACCTTCAATTTGAGAGAAGATGCCAATTCCCAGCTGATCTGCCCAGATACTTCAGGGATGCAACAGGATGGACTTTTGTGGAGTGAAAAGAATCCCAGTGGATTACTGCCGTCTTCTGCAGATGCACTGGGTAAGTGACTGAAATCTGACAGGTTCACCTGCAAAAGGCTAAAACACTGAAAACTCCTCGAGGCTGGACTCACAAATCCAAGTGGGTGGAGTCA